GCTGCACACTACCCAGGACCGCTTCGGGTACCACTGGGGTCACACACACCAAACACTAAACCCGGTAACTGGCCAGAAACGGTGGTTCCTATTATTACTTTAGTATTTTCTCATGGAATTCAGGGTCCTGCCAGATTCAGGGTTTCACGATGGAAACTTCCAGCACAGCTCAGTTTTAAAAAGCTTTGGCCTGGACCCCAGGCAGCTTGGCATGCTACCAAGCCTGGCCCCAGGTCTGTGTGTTTTCACTCCCTTGGGCAGCACTGTGAGGTGTTGGATGAGAGGATGGAGCTTCTTCTCCTTTCCAGGGCTGGGACTGCACAATTCCAGACCTGTGGATCCAGACAGAGCCACCTAGAGGCGGGCTGCGTGCAAGGTGGCGCTCAGCCCTGAAACCCACAATTACAGCGCACCAGCCTGGGTTTCTGCGCAACCTGTCCATCCCCCAACAGCACAAAAGCTTCAGGGAAAACATCAAGCGGCACAGCATTGATATTCACTTACGCAGCCGCTCTGGTTGCTGTCTGAGTCCTCACTATGCACCCAAAGCCCCGCTAGATGCTTTCCCAAAGTCCCAACTTTATAGATGAAGAAATCAGAATAAAATACTGATTACAACAGCGACTAATCTGCACTGAGTGCTGACTACACAGTAGCTTGCTTGAAGCGTCCTACGTGTATCTATACGCTTAGTCCTTGAAACAGAGCTGGCGATTCCATCCCTATTTTACAGATGAGAAAACTCAGACCCAGAGAAGCTTAGCAAATTGTCCAAGTAGGCAGCAAGGCTGGGGCTCACAGCCAGGGCCTTCAGCACTGTGTAGCACTAGACCAGCGGCGGCAAACCTTTCAGACCTCTCAGTGATACAAACACCCACTGCGGCTCGCGTGCCATAGCTCCCCACCACTGCACTAGACTATGTTGTGTCTCTGTATGGAGAAGCTAAACGGTTGCTAAGGCTGCAGAAGCAGGTATGAGAGTTAAACAGGCAGGCACAAGGAGGACGCAGTAAGCAGCCTCAGACAGGAGCAGATAAAAATCCATGGTTGGAGGCTCAGACAAGGAAGAAATCACACAGAGCAGGAGGCACAGTAGGCTTCAGATATCGGAGGACAAAAAGGAATAGGAAAGGGCATTTCTGATGGTAGGAACAGCCTAAGCAAAGGTACAGACATAAGAAGTACGGGTTAGTTTAAGAGCGAAACTAGGTTAGGCTGCATATTAATGGCTGTTACAGAAATCCAATGTGTTTCGTTCCTTGTTCTGGTAACACTGGGGCAATTATGTCCGACCTGGGATTCTCCAGTGGGGCCTCTGCTGCTCTTTCAGGTGCTAAGGTTCCTGAGTAGCCAGCAGAGCTCCAGGCTGCAGGGAGGAAGCCCTGTTTCCCCGCAGCAACCCAACAGGTCAGGCTGCTGGAAGACATGTGCTGAGAAATAGGGCTTGTTAGGGAGATGCCCAAGCCCTGCTGTTGTGTTTTGTTTTTTAAAGAAAACTTGGACCAACGGCTCAACAGTTTCGAGCTGGGGAGCGACATGATCAGAGTTGTGTTGACAGGCAAGAAATCTGAGCACATTTGAAAAGGGAGGGGAAGGGGAGCCTTTGTCAGTCCAAGGCTACAAATAAGAAAATAACCTGTCGCACAGAGCCATTGGAAGCAGCGAGCAGCGCGTGTGGGATCCGCACAACACTTTTAGACTCCCTTCCTCTCTCACACCCCCTCTCCATCTGTCGCAAAGGGCACCGGGAAGACGCAGGAACATTCCAGCTCTGGGGGCTCCAGAGCTCTGCAGCCCAGATGGGGGTGCTCTTGTAGGAGCCGCATCCTCCCCATGTGTTGTCACCTGTGAAGGGGCTGCCAGAGCCCCACCCTTGGGCAGCTTTCCGAGGACAACTGTGACTCAGTCTAAAACTTCTGCCCAGAGGAGTCCAGCCCTAACTCTCCATCTAAGCCCAAGAGGGTTCCTCTGCTCAGCAACCCCCACAAGCTTGGACTATGAAATCCAGATTCAGTCATTTAATTGTTTCCATCTGAGTCACCCAGCGGGAAGACTCTTATCACCAACTTCTTGGGCAGGTTATACCCCAATTTTGGACTCAATTTTCCTCATCTATAAGATGGGGATAAGAGCCAACTCCTGCATGGCTGATGAATGAGATAACACAGCTAAAGCTCACAGCCTGGAATGCAGTTAACTGTTTAATAAACACTGCTTCTCCTCCCTCTCTCAACACATGGTTCACATTAGGACTTATCCGTGCTGACTGCAAGTAAAGGAATGAATCATTCCGTGAGTCTCTGCGGGGTTGGGAAAAGAATAATTAATGGCCAGAAAGTACCCAGAGAACTCCACGGCTTTATAAGACCTCCCTACAGCCTGGCTGTAGCAGAGCCAAATCCCCACCCCGTCTCTTCCTACGAAAGAGGAAGTGAGAGCAACTTTACCACTCAGGAAAGTACAGAGGAGCCTCCAAAATGCCACCCTCTACCAAGGGTCAGAGGCTCATGGAGGGTCCCAACGCCCCCAAGGCTAGAATCCCAACTTGGCTTGGCCTCCTTTAGGCCAAGGAAAAGGAATTCATCTGAGGTCTCTCTGGAAGTGAACATAAGATCCCAAGGCCTAGACAGGGCTAAGCACGCAGCCTACAGGTTCAGTGTCAGGTCCTATAGCCCCAGAACCCGCACCCGAGGTGCCCCAAGTCTTCCTCAGCTCAATTTGTGTCAGAGAACGGGCCCTTACACTGGCTCCAAGAACATAGGGTGGTGACTTCATCGGAATCTTTTTAGAATTTCCCTTTGGCAGCAACTTGTGCCAAACGCAATCTTTGGAAACTTCTTACCCTGCCACCCCCAATAGGATAATTCACATGACCAGCACCCCACCACCACCACTGATCATGTGAAGCCACAACAATCATGTGACACCTCCCAGGATGACAGCTCTGCCTGACAGACACTAGGAGTCATTCAATCCAAAGCCGCCTTCCTAAGCCTGACATTTGAGTTTCTCACTCAAACAAATCCATTTTCTTAGAAAATTGGACAACTGCCTTGCTCCTACCTTCTATCCTGTCTCTCTTCTGCTTTGTCGTAAATTTCATGCACCCAGCCATGGAAGGGACTGAAGTCTCACCTTCCAGCCACACCAGGTGAATTCCATGCTGGGCCAAAGGTGCCCCCAGGCCCCCAGAGAAACACACAGTGAAGCCTGCTGGGAGCTCCGATGGCCATATGCCATCCCTTTCCTACCATCCTCAACCAAGAAATCCATCCTTGCCTCCTAAGATTTATTTATTTCAAAGTTAATCCGGGCCCCTCTGCTGCTCCCACTTTCTCAGGCTATTGATGCTGAATGGATTGGAACGGAAGTTTTATGGCCCAATCTTTACCATTTTATAGATTGTTTTTACAGGCAAAGGGGGGAGATACGTTCACAAGAAAGGTGTTGGCGTTCCCAGCCAGTGCCCCAGCTAAGGCAGGCTGCCCATCTGAACACTTGTTAATCAGCGTCACCGCTCATTTGCCAGGGACTGAACCACAGGGTCCCGGGCAGAGAAGGGTCTGGGAACAGACATTTAGAAATTAACTTGGGCCCAGTTCCCTGCTTCAGGAAAATTAAGTACTTATGAGAGCTGCCTGTGCATTTCCAAGCCAGGGGGAGGAGGGCAGGGCAGGAGCTCCGGCTTTTTTGTTGAGATAAATGGCAGGCTCAGGCAGGAAGGTGCAGATGAGATCCACTCAGAGGAGAGACATGAAATCTACCAGTGTTTCTATCCACCTTGCTAAGATCCGGTTCTAACTGAAAAGAACTACGGGTGAGGGGGCACCTTGTGAGGTTCAGGGGAAACTGCCCAGCCAGGAGAAGCTGTTGTCCACTCCCCCTACTCCTCTTTCCACCCACTCCTCCACAGTTCCCTCTTTCTCCTTGCTATCAGATGGTTACCAGTCTCTAGGCAAATGCAAGGGGGGGGGATGGTGAGCTCATCTTTACCTCCCTGCCCAAAGGGGGAGGTGCAGGCACCCCTCTGCCCAGAATACAGCCTCAAAAGCCCACAAAATAAGATCCCCACTCCTCTCCCTCCCCAGCTCCATTTCTTTGCCCCTCATGCCCTCCCAGGGGGCCCACGGTTTTGCACAACCCCTTTAAGAAGCAGGACTCTGGAATGGTGACCTCACCCCTTGGCGAACACACACAGTAGCCTTCACAGCCCGCCTGCCTGCCTGCCGGAGACAGCCAGCCAGGTGTTTGATGTAGGCTGACAAAAAGACACGCTCAGAGCCACAGGTAACAGCCCCGAGGAACACCTGGACTGCAGGAGGCTGCCCGGAAGCCCAGGACGGCAGCAGAAAAGGGGAGCGGCAAAGGAGCAGCAAGGGGGGACCATGCTGCCAGAGGCTGTGCCAACCACAGGGACCATCCGCGCGATTTCAGGAAGGATCTGTTGATCTCCGCAGCCCGGGGGCCTTCCGTCCTCTCTCCCCGGCTTTTCATACACTAACACTGTGCACTCTGCGGCCCAGAGGGGCACTCTTGCCCAGTCCCACAGCCCGTTCCGGTGTCATTCCGGGAGCGCTTGTGCCCCCACCTCCTCCCGCAGACCCCGATGTCAAACCTGTGGAAAGCTTGAGTCTAGCTTCTACAGACACCAGGGTGCCCAGTTCTGAAAGCCACTGTCAGCCTGCGTCTCCCACCCGGGCAGGGGCTGGGTGAGCCAACTCATCTCTAAGCTCCAGTGCCCCGAGCAGCACCACAGTGTTACAGTCTATGGACACAGGCCTGCATAGAAAGAGTTCTATCCCGGGTTCTAGCTGTGGCTGTGTGACCTTGGCCAAGTCGCCGGCCCTCTCTGGGCTCCGGTGTCTGAACCTGTAAGCCTGGTTATAGGCATCTCTCCCCGCTAGGGCTGTTGGGCAACAGCCGAGCGGCTCCCAGCGGCTATCTGAGAGGCCCGAGCCCGCGGTAAGGGGAGGCCCGCAGAGGGAAGTAGGGGTGCTTACCTGGCCAGGCACAAGACGCGGCGAGCAGCAGGTAGAGCAGCGGCCCGAGACGGCCGGGGGCCGAGCCGGCGGACTCCATGGGCCGCGGCTGCGGAGCGAGGAGGGAGAGTGGCCGTGAGTGCGCGCCCGGCGGCGCAGGCTGGAGCGGGGAGATGACTAAGGCTCCCCCTCCTCCCCCCCGCTCCAAGCGCGGCGCCCGAGCAGCCCGGGATCCGCCGCCGCCGCGATGGTGGGAGACCCCCGCCCCCGGCCGGAGACGCAGAGGGAGAGACCCGAGAGCGCGCGAAGCGGAGCCAGGGACGGCCCGGAGGCGGAGGAGGCGCGAGAGGGACGGACCCGAGGGAGCCGGGCGAGCGCCAGAGACACTGGGAGGCGAGCGGGGGAGCGCGAGGGAGGGGAGCGCGCGGGGCGGCGCAGCAGACAGCGCGGCGGAGCGGGAGAGCGCGGGAGGGC